GTCTGGCCTGTGCGCGGTGCAATAGGAGGGGGGGGAGGACAACAACGAGGAGGGAAAGAGGGGGGGGGGGATATAGTGGGGATATAGTGGGGAGAGAGAGCGAGGGACCGGCCAGCGAAGAGAAGGAGGGAGGAGATCGCAAAATCAAAGCGGGAACTGTGAGCCGTCGAAGGACCGCTTGTGATCCCCATCGGCATCATACTGCGCCGACCCCTGGAGCTGGTAATCCTGGTGGAAGTAACTCCTCTCGAGAGCCTCGCGGGCAGAGATACGCGTCTCCGGGTCGTAGCGAAGCATTTCCTTAAGCTAAGGAGGCGAGCGCGCGAGTGTCAGAACACAGGCACGGTCCTCCAGACCCGACAAACACCCCGACATGCCCCGAAGGGCGCACGCGACACAGTGGGGGCACGCACCACATCCAACCCCGGCTTGCAAAGCCGCGGGGCAATGAGCTTCAGCCGCTCAACGAACTGCGGCGTCCCACAGGGGACAGGACTGAGCATCCCGCCGAGCTTGGCATTCAGATCCTCATTCCATCCGGAAAGGTTGGTGATCCTGGCACGTGTGAACAGCAAGCAGCAAACGGAGGCAGAAGAGTGGGAGTGGGTGGGTAGTGTCAGCCTCGGAGCGTCTGGGCGCGGTGTCCCTTGCTTTGCTGTTACGGGGGGGGGGGGGAGGCTGATGAGTCACGGGGGGTGCCGCGGGCCACGTACCCCGGCCATTGGTTCATGTCCGGCGCCCCGAGGGTCCGGAAGATCAGCTCAATCTGAGACTTGTTGCACTTCCCCGGGAAGGCAGCGCGCCCGTTGTTGACCATCTCGGCAAAGACGCAGCCTGCCGCCCAGATGTCGATTTCACGGCTGTAATTCCGGCATCCGAGCAGGACATCCGGGGCTCTATACCACAAGGTGACGACCTGTAGCGATTCCCGAAGGACATGGCGACAAGCGGGGATTTCGCCAAGGGGCGGGCCGTGAGTGACAGGGCTGTTGCATCGAGGGGAGAGAGGAGGGGGAAAGGAGAGGGAGGGGAGAGATGGGGGGAGGGGTATCGAGAGGAAGCCACGGGCTCCATGGTGCCTTGGTGCATGTGCCGGCTCGAGGCACAGGAATACGCACCTCGTGGGAAAAGGTGTGCACAGGGATGCCAATAGACCGCGCCAGGCCGAAATCCGCGATTTTGAGAGTATATGTGTTGATGTCGATCAGCAAGTTCTGTGGCTTCAAATCCCGATGCAGGACGCGGTGTGCATGGCAAGTGGCCAGACCACGAAGGAGGTGCCGCTAAGGAGACACACAGGCAGAGATGACGCGAGGCGGGGGGGAGGGGGAGGGGGGGGGGGGGGGGGGGGGGGGGGCGAGGGACACAGATTGCACATCGGAGAGGGGTGACAAATGGTAGACACATAGGCTCGTCAGTCGAATGCTCCTGGTGCCCTGTCGAGGAGATGGCAGGACGCAGGCTTAGGGCAGAACGTGTGTTTGTGGTGATGGGGTGGCAGGACGAGCGAGCGAGCGAGAGAGAGAGAGAGAGAGAGAGAGAGAGAGAGAGAGAGAATCCATGCCATTGGCTCTCCCTCCATCCTGCTCTCCTTTTTTGCAAAGGAAAAGGTGCGAAAGGGGGGGGGGGGGGGGCGGGACGCACCATGAACCGGCGGATGAGCCCGTGCGGCAAAGGACCATTCATGTTGACCATGAAGCGCTTCAAGTCGCAGTCTAGGTGCTCGAAAACCAGCTGAAGGTGGGTGTCCGAGTGGACAACTTCATACAGGCGCACGATGTGTGGCCAGCCGGCCAGATGCCGCATAAGGGCCACCTCGCGCACGGCTGTTGACGGAGCGCCCTCTTCCTGATCGAGAGTGATCTCCTTCAAGGCAAATTGCTGCTCGATGTTCTCCTCGCCGGCCTTGTCGTCTCCGGTCCCGGCCATCTGGACATCGGGCTTGGCGCGCGAGCCGTCCGGGTTGACACGCTCCCGATAGGTGGGTGGGGCGCGGGTCGCGCGGAAGACCGCAGCGTATGTGCCCTCACCGATCTTCTGGTGTTTAATGTAACGTTGGGACATGGTGCAGACAGAGGCCTTCAAGGGTGGTTTGCGAAAAGGGCGCAAGGGGTGGCGGGACAGGAGGGAGCATGGGCCGGTGCAAGCGACAACATCTGAAGCGTTAGTGGGAAGGGGCCGGGCCGGGGTAGAACCGAGAAGGAGGAGAGCCGAGACAGTGTATACCTAGATTTCCCCTTTGCTGAGGGAGGAGAGACAGATAGAGGGGTGGCATCGGGCGGTGCTTTCGGGTTAGAGGCGAGCATATTGAACTGGCCGGGGAACAATGTCTCCCATATGCGCTGCACAGACCCATATACACATCTGACCATGAGGGTCGGTGTGGTTATGGCTGTCTCTGACGAGAGAGAGAGAGAGAGAGGCGAGGGGGAGCAGGGAGGAGCAGGCAGGCACAGGGAGGAGTAGGGAGGAGTAGGAGAGCACAGGAGAGCACAGGAGAGTCGGCGAGCAAGGAGAAAGGCTGAAGATCTAAGGACAAGAGCGACACGCACGATGACAGAGGGGGGCACAGGAGGCGGTGGTAAGGAAGGCTGGCACAACACAGGCGAATGTGGAGGAGGGGGGGGGGGTGCGTGGTCGTCGATCAGAGGCAGGATGCTCTCTCTCGGGGGCAGGCCGCGGGGGGCGGGCAGGCCGGGTAAATAGGTGAGGCTGAAGGAGCACGGGCAGGGGGAAAAGGCTTGCGGGTTGGTGTCGGGGAAGAGGGGGGTAGCATCACCCACCACAGCGCCTGGTGCCTGGCACAGGGATCGCACGGAAAGACCTGCCGCGGAGTCATCTCTAGCCCCCCAGTCAAGGCTCTGGAAGCGGCACCGGGCGAGTAAAAGATGGAGAGGGCGCGTTGGAGGGACTGTCATGCAAGAAGGCCCCCTCCTCTGGCCCAGCCCATCCCCAGGTCTCTGGGCTGAGTGAGGCGGTCTCCAACTTTGGGCTGTTTGAAACGGCCAATGCCAGTTGATCTACCCCTCCTCACCCGTTGTCCCCCCGGGGAGGGGCGCGAAACTACGACTGGATTAATTCTCGCCCCACTGAATACCTCCGACGGCAGGCCGAGGGGCGGGGGGGGGGGGGGGGGGGGGGGGGACAGGGTGGAAGGGGGGAGGATGGTGATCAGTTGC